GAAAGAAGGAAAGAAGATAGAGGGAGAGTGGAAAGAGAAAGAAGAGTTGGCGGGGGAGGGGAGAGAGAAACAATTAAAAGAATGAGAAAGAGGATGTACAAATGGGGGGGGGGGGGGTCAGAAAAGGAAGCACCGACGTAATGGGAATTGAGAATGGGTAAAGGAAGCATCATTAAGCAAATTTCGTGCTTACCCATCGCTAATTATCTGCTAATCACCTGTACGTTTGGCGACAAATAAGTAATTATACAGTCAAGGACAGATGTAATGTCGTGAATAAAACTACGAAACTCTCCTAACCTAAATAAACAAATAAGTCAATAAATGAATGAGTAACTATTCATTCAAAATAATTCAAAATTCAAAAGTGATTCAAAAAGAACTCAAAACGTGATTTAGAAAGATTCATTCATTCATACAAGTTCAAATTCATTCAAATTAATTCATTCAAAGAAATTCAAGAAGAGTTTGGCAATATATATTTTTTCCTTTTAGCCTAGACTGTACAACGAAAAATAGATCTCATACATCTATTGTATTCGTAATGTATTTACTCTATATTCGTTCCTACAGCAGGTGTGTACAAGAGTAAGCATATTTGATTAATATATCTTATATATGAAGATAGATGAACGGACACGTTGATAGATTAATGAATGGATAGACAGGTAAGTTGATAAGCAATAGCATGGATGAGTGGATAGATGGATGGAAGGATGGATAGATAGATAGATAGACAGACAGATAGATAGATAGATGACTAGATGGGTAGACAGATAGATCGACAGAGATAGATGGATAGACAGACGTCTTTCTTCTCTCATGCTTTCGTGTTTCTTGTTGTTTTTATGATGTATAATGACACTGGTATATTAAAATAAGAGAGAGGGTAAAAGAGAAAGAGGGATAGAGAGAAAGAGAAAGAGAGAGAGAGAGAGAGAGAGAGATAGAGAGAGAGAGAGAGAGAGAAAGAGAGAAAGTGAGAGAGAGAGAGAGAGAGAGAGAGAGAGAGAGAGAGAGAGAGAGAGAGAGAGAGAGAGAGAGAGAGAGAGAGAAAAGAGAGAAAAAAGAAAGAGAAAAAAACAACAAAAAAAAACAAAGACAGATAAACAAAGAGAGAGAGAGAGAGAGAGAGAGAGAGAGAGAGAGAGAGAGAGAGAGAGAGAGAGAGAGAGAGAGAGAAAAGAAAGAACAAAACAAAACAAAAAAGACAGATAAACAAATACAAAGACAATCCAACAGTCAGACAAACAGAAAAAAACAAACAGAGAGACAAACAGATAGAGAGACAGACAGAAAGACCCGAGACAGTGGGCTAACAAGTAAACAAACTAACATAAACAAAGCTAATAAACAAAGACAGACTGTCGTTCATCCGGGAAATTGATGGTGTCTCCTCGGCGCTCATCACTAATGGCGCTGACGTGATTATGGTGTCGAGCTCGATCTATGGTGATGTATCGGCGGCTCGATGTGATGAGATGCTGGGAAAAATGGTGAGTGAGTGATAGGGTTAGTGAAGGAGAGGAGATAGTGGAAATTCGGATGGGAAGGAAGGGGTGGGGATGGTGTGGATGGTGAATGGTGGGGATGGTATTATGGTGTTGATGGGGGGAGTTATGGTGATGATGATGTATGGGAATGATGGTGATGGTGTATGTTAATATGATGGTGAAGGATATGGTGATGGTGATTGATGATGATAGTATATGGTGATAATGGGGAAGGTGATGTGTGGTGGTGATGATGACTGTTATGGTTATGATGGTGAAGCTTTGAATAGTATGGTGATAATGATGGATGGATGGTGAAGATTATGGTGATGATGGTGAAGGTTATGATGATTTCTTAGGTTATGGTGATGATGAGTGGAGGAAGATAATGATAATGATTCATGATTATCTGACTAATAAGAATATTGATAATGATGTTCTATATTGATCATGATTTGATAATGATGGTAATGATGTTATGGTGACGATAACGTTAAGGATAAATACGGTAAAAACAAATGAAGTAGTCAAGATAATGAAAATAATAATAATAATAATAATAATAATAATAATGATGATGATAATGATAATAATGATAATAATAAATATAATAAACATAAAAATAATAGTAATGATAATAAAAAGAATAATAATGATAATAATAATGATAATAATAACAATAATAATAATGATAATAATGATAATGATAATAATAATAATAATAATAATGATAATAATAATGCATAATAATGATGATGATAGTGATAATAATAATAACAAAAAAATAGTAATGATGATGATAATGATGATAATAATAATAATAACAACAACAACAACAGCAACAACAATAACAGTAATAATAATAATGATAATGATGATAATAATGATAACAATAACAATGCCAATAACCAACAGCAACAACAGCTTATAGTGACCTCACCATACCGCGCTGCGATGGTGAAGCTGGTTATTGGGATGAGTGAGTGATTTAGTGTTTATTTAGCGAACTGTCAATTGCTCGCTTCGGTCTGTGATTTCGTGAATGGGAGGCCGATGTGTTTCCGCCATGCCTGTCTGCGCGCGCCGCTCGCCTGATCCGTCTGCGGCCTTCT